CTCTCTCGTTGTTGTCAATGGCTGAGAAAAATGTTGGGGCACACCTTAGTACCCCTAGTAATTTCCAATGTCCGATCTATCTTGATGATCTTAGTGATGATGAAGATCTACATGTGGCCCATTTGACTCGTGCAGGTCGTCATTTTAAACCTTCATATCTTGAAGATGAGAATCCTGTGGAAGCCCTGAGAAGGAAAGAAAAAGACAGGGAATTAGTAGAGGTGAATAAGGAAGAAGATGATGCTATTAAGCGCATGAAGGAGGTTAATGCAAATGTTTCTATATGGAAGTTACTGACTCATTCTCAACCTCATCGGGCCGCTGTTCTGAGACATCTCAATGAGGTTTCAATTGATGCATCCATAACACCGGATCAAATGGTAGGACTTATTCATGGAGCCAACCGCACTTTAATGTTTACCGACGATGATCTCCTAGAAAGTGTCAACCATAACAACTCTTTCCACATAACTGTGAAATGTCATGGGTGGACAATACCCTGGGTACTTATTGACAATGGTTCTGCCATCAACGTATGTCCTTATCGAGTTATGACGAAGCTCGGTTATCAAAAAGAAGATTTGACACCTTCAAGACAGGTTGTTAGGGCTTACGACAATGCGAAAAGGGACGTTTTGGGGTCAATTGAGTTACTTTTGGAATATGGACCAGTGGCTAGAAATGTTGAATTTGTGGTAATTAATATTGAAGCGTGCTTTAACCTTTTGCTCGGTAGACCTTGGCTTCATGAGAATAGGGCGGTAGCCTCTACCTTACACCAAAAGGTGAAGCTGCTCACAGATCATGGTGCAGTGACACTTGTGGGTAATCCAGAAGTTATGAATGTTTCTACTGTTGGAAAATCAGTGCTCCATTTAGATGAAGAAGAGGGTATTCGATTAGACGGATTCACTATTCATAATATTAGATTTGATTCAAGTAGCTCATGGAAAGAAGAAGAAGAAACGGAGGAAGATCGGGAAGAGGACTTAGAGGAAGACGAAGAAACTGAGGAAGATCCGAAAGAAGAAACTGAGGAAGATCCAGAAGAAGAGCTTCAAGAAAATGAAAATGATTATGAGATTAATCCCCAAGGAGCTAGAGATGGAACAAACTGGTCCAATGAAGATGGGGTAGAAGAGGAGCCTAAAACTCCAAAAGACAGCGATCCTTGTTTTAGAGGAGAATCTTGGATAAGTAATTCCTTTAAACATGATGAGGGATCTCGGAAGAGGTCTAGGGCCGAGGATTTTGATTTGGATTTTGATGTCCTGTGTTATAGAAGGTTGGTATACCCGGAGGAGTTGATTCTTTTCCCTAACTACAGGCATGTAGATCGTTATCTTAATCTTCCTCAGTTTGAGAAGTTCAATGGGTTGGGAGATCCTATTCTCCATTTATACAACTTTGTGAACACCTTATACCCTTTGAATGTTCCAGAAGAACATTTTCCTATGTTGTTTAATAGAAGTCTGGGTGGACCCGCGTTATCCTGGTATTATACCTCAGGGGTAACAAGTAAAGGCTCTTGGGGAGAAATAGCTCAAGCATTCAGTGACTGGGCATTTGAATTTCGACAGACTGACACCGAAAAACTGAAGCTAGTGAATATGGAGCAAAGTGACTGGGAATCATTTTCACATCTCTTTTCAAGATGTTCTTACATTCGGGCTCGACTTCGTTTTCCCATAACTGATAGGGAGTTTATGTTGATATTGCTAAGAAAATTAAATGATTTTTTATTATCAACATATGGTCTCCATCAAATACGCCAATCTCTCGCACATGGAGAGACACGGTTACGAAATTGATGCCTATCGACTACAGGAAAGAAGGCCTAAGGTGCACCCTCAAGGTGAAAGAGCTAACAGGAGGATATTCACTCGAATTGACAAACCATTGAGTGTGGTGTACGATCGTTTGAGCAAAAAGGGTATTCTTCGGGCAAAAAGCTATGTGTATTCGTTACCACCACATGGGACCGATATGAGACAATATTGCAGTTATTGTCATCTGTATGGGCATAGAACCGATACTTGTTACGACCTTAAATGTGAAATCCAGGATCTTATTGATCGTGGGATCATCACTCCGGCCCATCCTCAGTCTAGCATACCAGAGACAAGCCCGGCACAGCTACGAGCCTCTCAAGCTGATTTGTTCCTTCAACTACTCGAAGAAGGTCGTATCAAGCCACTACCTCGTCGAGCAGGAGCTGATCCTGTTGGACCAAATCTCAACAAATATTGTCACTATCATCAGTTACATGGCCATGATACTAACGAATGTCACGCCCTCCGTTGGTGTATAAAGCGCACAACTGGAATTTCCTGCCCGAATCAGAAAGTGTCCATAAATTCCCTTTCTCTTTGGACACACGAAGATGATCCCACTCTTTTGATTGCTCGTCACTACTCGAACTACGAGAAAGACTGTTGAAAACCTTAAAGCCTAAGGAATCTATACATGGGAAAGGAAGCATCTACAACGACATGGTGACCTCTATCTTACCCTCCATCAAGAAGGATGAATAAAAGGGGTAGTATGAGCACTGTAAACCAAGCATTTTTTTTTATCCTCCTTATGTTTTCTTTTGTTACAAAGAACTACGTACAACTTGATCCCCTAAAGCACTATTTCATGATCATACACAAAATTGTACTTGCACGCACATTGTTATTGGGGTACGTAGGCAACTCTGATCGTGTGCAGCTGTTTTAAAAAAAAAAACCTCCTTCTTCCGATTTGAACTACGACGGGTCTGATTCTCCAAAAAAAAAAAGAGAAAAAAAAATAGGAAAATACAAAAAAATCTATCTGGAGATACGTAGGCAGCCTTATGGCGCGACCCGAAATAATTAAAAAGATTTTTTTTTTGGGAATGAACACCCCACTAACTTATCTAACTTAATAGACGTCCTTAAATTTTTACCAAAATCCTTTTTTTTCGCATGCATTTTTGCATTTATCGTTTACTTTTTTTTAATTATTTTCAAAAAAAAAATGAGGAAATCCTAATCTTCAGTATGTAATGTTTAGGTATCCTTTGCCAACCCATGACCAACCAAACTCGAAAATCTACTCTACCCTCGGATTCCATTCAAGAAATCCAAGATCCAATACCCCAAACACTTACTAGAGGACTTCAATTGATGTTGAAAATGGGTTATGTTCTAGGAGCTGGTTTAGGACGAAACGGTGAAGGCATGAGGCACCCAATCCCAATCCCAATAATCGATAAGCGAAATCGTCATGGTTTGGGCTTCGATGAGAACATGGGTTCTAAGGTTATGAAAAAGAAGTCTCTCACTTTGAATGGGCAATTTGTGTTGCAAAATGACACTGAGCCATTTTATGAGTTTCCTAAACCTTGGTATGACTTGGATAAAGAGAAAATTCTCCCTGGGTTAGAAATTTTCTTTGCAGAAGCAAGGAATGAAGAATTTATTAAGAAATGGTTTGATAAGAAACCAGTATCTAAGAAAGATTTTGATTGGGCTGACCATCTAAAGCAAGGAGTTCTAAGAGGCTTGTTTTCATCAATTTCTGATTATGAAGTCCGATTGGATCCCATTACGCTTATTACTCCAATAAAAACAGAAGTTGGAAACAATATCCGATCCAAAACTCGAGAACAATTCCCTTTTTTCCCTAAACTATATCCTTTTCAATCCTCTATCTCAGATGGTTATGAAACCGATAGCTCATCATCTAGCCAATCATCTATCCATACACTGCCTGATATCCCATATCATGAAGATATCGATAAAATTACTTGTAAACATATTTGCGTACAAGAAATTGATCTTGATCATGAAGCATTTTCTAATAATGAACTTTTCAATGAACCTAAATCATGTGTGACACCCATGGAAGAGTCTATAACTGTAAACATAGGTACGAATAATGATGTAAAAGAAGTCAAGATAGGATCCACCCTTTCCCTCGATGAACAAAATGCATTTATTATTTTACTTAAAGAATATATGGATGTGTTTGCATGGTCTTATGCTGATATGTCTGGTGTCGATCGTAGCATTGCTGAACATCGTATACCACTCTATCCCGATAGCAAGCCAAAGCAACAAAAGCTTCGTAGAATGAAACCGGAAGTTAGTCTCAAAGTTAAGGAGGAAATTCAAAAGCAGCTTGATGCCAACTTCATCAAACCAATTAAGCATCCAGAATCGCTGGCGAATGTGGTGCTAGTACCCAAAAAAAGATGGAAGGTTCAGAGTGTGCATTGATTTTAGGGATTTAAATTCAGCATCACCAAAATACTATTTTCCTTTGCCCCACATTGATGTTCTAGTTGATAACACTGCTGGACACGCCATGTTCTCATTCATGGACGGATTCTCGGGATATAATCAGGTGCTTATATCAGAAGAGGACATGTCCAAAACTTCTTTTATTACCCCATGGGGAACCTTTTGTTATAGAGCAATGCCCTTTGGATTAAAGAATGCCGGGGCAACCTATCAACGGGCTGCAACGACGATTTTGCATGACCTCATCCACGATATTGTGGAGGTTTATGTTGATGACATGATTGTCAAAAGTCATGATCGTGAAACGCACCTTGATGCTTTAAAATCATTCTTCGATAGAATTAGGAAATACAATCTGAGATTGAATCCTCAGAAATGTGTATTTGGAGTAACTTCGGGAAAACTTCTAGGCTTCGTCGTAAGTCAAGACGGAATTAAGGTTGATTCTGACAAGGTAAAGGCCATACAATAGCTTCCTCCGCCAAGGACGGAAAAGGAGATTCGGGGATTTCTTGGTAGAATTCAATATATTAGTAGGTCTATATCGCAATTGACAACCCAGTGTGAACCTATATTCATGTTACTTAAGAAAAATGTTCCTACAATATGGAATGACAAATGTCAAGCCTAATTTGATTCAATGAAAGAATACCTCTCCAATCCTTCGATTTTAATGCCGCCGAAACTAGGAAGCCCTTGATATTATATCTTACTATTACGGAAACAGCCATGGGAGCTCTTTTGGCACAATACCAAGAGGGTACAAGGAAGGAAATAACTATCTACTACCTCAGTAAAAAGTTCCTTGAGTATGAAACTAGATACACTCCTTTAGAAAGAGCTTGCATTGCCCTTATTTACGCGACAAAGAAGCTTCGACATTATTTGCAAGCACATACTACTTATCTGGTTTCGAGGTTAGATCCAATCAAGTACATTTTTGAGAAGCCAATCTTGAGTGAAAGAATAGCAAGGTGGCATGCGATATTGTCAGAATTTGACATTCAGTGCGTGAATCAAAAGTCTGTCAAAGGGAGGGCTATATCTGAAGCTTTGGCTGATGGACCTATATCGGGTGATGAATTTGATGATGATTTTCCAGATGAACATATTTTCTGTCTTAGTATGTCACAATGGAAGATGAATTTCGACGGAGCCTCAAATAGAAGGGGAAATGGTGTAGGGGTGTTATTGATCGATCCTTATGGAGTACATATTCCTTTCGCTGTGAAGCTTAGTTTCCCAACGACGAATAACACGGCTGAATATGAAGCCTGCATCAATGGAATCAAAGCGACATTAGCAGCTGGTGCAAAAAATCTCACAGTATACGGTGATTCTTATCTCATAATTTCCCAGACTATTGGAGCTTGGAAAGTTCGGGACGAAAGGTTGCAAATGTACACGGAGTATCTTCAACAATTTATCCCATTCTTTAAAGAAATAGAGTTCAAACATCTCCCTCGAGAACAAAACAGTTTCACCGATGCTTTGGCAAATCTGGCGGTAAATTTAACTTGGGACGATGATGTGAAGGTACAATCGGTAACAATTGTAGAAAAAGAAATTCTAGTGGTTAATTTTAAACCAACAATTGCTTTATTAACCCAAGAAGATGATGAGGATGCTTGGTATACTGACGTTAAGAAGTATTTAATCAATGGAGAATATCCTGAAGGAAGTCACAAGAAGGATCAATTGGTTATTCGAAGGCTAGCTTCTCATTTCACAATATTGAAAGGTTTGTTGTATCATAAGAGTTTCGATGGAAATTTGCAATTATGCATCGATGGGGAGCAGACACGAAGGATCATGGAAGAGGTACATGGGGGAGAATGTGGGCCTCACATGAATGGATGAATGCTTGCTCGGAAGATTCTGCGAGCAGGGTATTATTGGACCACTTTGGAAAGTGATTGCATCCATTTCGTACGAACATGCAAAAGATGTCAGCTATTTACAAACCTTAATCATATGCCGCCAGTTAGCCTGAATAATTTTACTTCTCCATGGCCTTTTTCCAGCTGGGGCATAGATATCATTGGGCAAATACATCCGAAAGCTTCGAACGGGCATCAATATATATTGGTTGCTGTCGATTATTTTTCGAAATGGGTGGAGGCATCATCATATTCGAAACTAGGGGCAAAACAAGTTTCAAAATTTGTAATCAATAACATTATATGTCGGTATGGGGTACCTTTTGAAATTATTTCCGATAATGGTTCGCAATTTGAAGGCCATCTCAAAGAAACCCTTGAGAAATACAAAATCAGACATCACCAATCATCACCATATCGTCCTCAAACCAATGGAGCTGTTGAAGCAGCTAACAAAACTATCAAGACGATAATCGCCAATATGACAAATAGGGCTCGAGAATGGCCCGATAAACTTCCCTACGCACTTTGGGGATACATAATTTCCATTCGAACACCAACTAGGACTACTCCATATTCTTTGGTATATGGAATGGATCCGCTTCTTCCAATCGAAACGGAGATTCAATCGCTTCGCGTAATGAATGAAAGCGAGATATTTGAAGAACAATGGTTTAAAGAACGATATGATGAACTTTCTTTGGCAAGTGAACGAAGGTTACAAGCCCTTCACAACATTCAAGTTTATCAAAGACGCATTGCTCAGGCATTTAATAAAAAGGTCAGGGAAAGGAATATCCAAAAGGGAGATTTGGTACTTAAGGAAAATCGAGCACCAATTCATGATCCACATGGAAAGTTCAAGCCCAACTGGTCTGGTCCCTTCCTGGTCAAACATCTTACACCAGCAGGAGCAGTAAAATTGGTGGATCTTGATGGAAATGAATTTGTTCATTTCACCAACCTTGATCAGTTAAAAAAGTATTATGCTTGATTAGTACGGTGTTGTATTTATGGGATTCGAAAAAAAAAACGTGAATCTCCTACTAACTCTAGATAGTCATGTGTATCATGTTAAAGTTTAGATTTCATTCATGTTTGCATTGCATGCTTAAGAGTCATGTAGAAATATTCATTATTATTAAAAGATCATGATCAAGGCAATACTTAACAAAATATGATTACAACAAACATTTTTTTTTATTTGATCATAACACAAACTCTCTCAGTTTTTGGCGAGATTACATCCATTTTTAAACATGGAAACAACAACCACATACACCATAACCAAGAGACCAATGCCTTCGGATACGATTTCTTCTTTTGGAATTGAAAATGCATAAGCAAGGGAAACACAAAATACAAATTTTGAAGTACAAATAACGAAATCCCTCTAGGGATTTATTCAAGCATCGCCCTCGAGGTCCTCCAACAACCATGTTGTATAGGACGCGGTTGGAACATCATCTTCGAGGACTAAAAGTGCTGGAAGCATTCGTGCAAATTGCCATACATGGGATAACGCCCTAAGAGCTTCCACACTACCAATTTCATAAGTGGAACAAGGTACCACTGGGAGCTCATGAAGCTCTAGGAGTCGTTGCAGTTGGCCCGCTTGTCTCAAGTATCTCCAAGGAAGATAGAATGTGACACGACACAATCCTGGAAGTTGAACACCTCTGCGTCTGCTAGTGCTAATTGTTATGGAATTTATGTTGAGAAATGAAATGATCCATTCCACATCAGCTACGGCAAAGACGTCTTTCCATCCACCATGATTGCAACATTGACGAAATATAGGAAAAAAGCCTCTCTCCCGAATATGTCGGGTTTGGTAAGGAGTTCGAAAAGGTGGTCTAGATAGCTTGAATTTCTCGCATAACCAAAGTTGAAGCACAATTGGACACCCTTTAACAAAACCACCTGGATTTTGTTTCAGATGGTCAAGCCCCATCATAAGTTCCCCTAGGATAAGAGGCCCTAAACGGTTCCCTGACTCAATCTGTGACAGCAAAGAAAGGCAACGAACATGACAGGAAAATAATGATTCTTTGAACAAAAGAAGGCCGAGCAATAAAAGGATGCAAGCTTTCTCTTGGCACCTTTTGAAATCCTCACTGTTGGCAGATTCCCAATGAGATATAGAGAAGGTTTCAAGGAAATTATCTAACATTAAGCTGTCAAGCAGGCGATAATTGCTCTCCATATTTAATGGTATGCCTAGCAAATCCCTCATGGTTGCATTGGTTGCCCTTGGGTCAGCAGGTGTAATCACACGACCTTCTTTATAAAGACCTAGTAAACCCTCCACTTCTTCTAGAAGAGGAGTCATTTCCGTCTCTCCAAAACGAAAAACATGGCGTTCTTCATCCCAAAATTCAATAGCATCATGAATCATATCATACCGAGGTTGAATAACTAGGAGAGGGGTGATGGTTCTAGTAAAGACACTTGTATAAGAGGAAAGACGAGGTGGAGAAATTTTTTCTATCACCCCTTTTAGTTGGAGCTTTCTAGCTCCACTGATTTCATTGAATTCTTGAAACATGACATTCATTTTTTTTTAGAAATTTGAGGAGAGAATAAATAAGACTTGAGAAGCTTGAAAGAAGAAGAAGGGAGTTGATTTGGTGTAGAAAGGAATGAACACCACCTTTTTTTTTATAGGGGTGGTGGTGTTAATAGAGCCAGGGAGAAAAGGCCGAAGGAGTTTACTTTTCCGAAAACTCAGTACAAACCACCTGCTGTTTTTGCATCCGAAATCCATAAATTGTGTTTTTTTTTTCAAGAATGATTGTTATTTTTTCTTCAAGCTCGTGCAAATCGGAGTTTTAATCTTCTTCAAGGTTAAACCAGTTTTTCAACTACACCCAAGCCAACATTTGTGTTGCAACTAAGTGAGAATTTCACTCTATTTTTTTTCTTTCTCTTTCAGCTAGTTTTTCAACTGCACCTAAGCCAACATTTGTGTTGCAATTGAGTGAGAATTTCACACTATTTTTCAGCCAATTTTTCAACTGCACCTAAGCCAACATTTGTGTTGCAATTGAGTGAGAATTTCACTTTATTTTTCAGCTAGTTTTTCAACTGCACCCAAGCCAACATTTGTGTTGTAATTGAGTGAGAATTTCACTCTATTTTGTAGCCAGTTTTTCAACTGCACTCAGGTCAATGTTTAAATGAAGATCAATTAGGATTTTTTTTTTTTTTTAACATACATCAAAATTTTGTGTCTTTTCTCAAACATTGATTATCGTTTTATTTAAACTCAATCAATGTGGGGCAATCTGTAGACACCAAATTTTGATCCTACCTTTTTAATTATCACTATTAATTATTTTTTATTACTATAATTATTGTTTTTTTTTCAAATAATAATTATTATTTTGCTAATTATTTTTATAAACTTAATGACGTTTGTTTTATTACATAAAACGAAGGAAACGAGTAATAATAATGATTTTTATTCATAATTTCCAAAATACATGTTACAATTTGTACTTCTAAATTACTAAATTACAAAATATTGAAGTACAACTGACACTACATACATTTCTACCCTGCTCCACCGAAGTAATTTTTGGGTTTTTACTTATGGATTAACAAGTAAATTAATACAGCCATTAGGAGGACCACTAGCCCCACAATGTACATGAAGTACACCCTTATCATCCTCATGTCTTCCTCAAAGGTGAAGACATGTTGATCTTCCTGGTTTTCTTGAAACATGGTGGTTGAGTTTAATGGTGGTTTTTGTTTGATTTTTTTCGGGTAAGGAGGAAGATGGAGGAAGATAAGAATTAAGTGGTGAGTGGAGATTTTGGATAAGGGTAATTTCTTTTTATAGTAAAAATAAGTATTTTAGACCGTATTTTTATATGTATATGTATAATAATCGTATAGTATAAAGTACAATATTTTTTGTCTCTCCAGGGGATATGTCATTTTCCTTATAACCAAGTATCGTTTAACCCTTTAGAGTATAATAAGTATATTAATATGTTCACTTAGATTGTTAGAGTTTTTTTTATTTGTGTACTCCCCTATTATATGACCAATTTACCTAAGCCATAAAATCCATTACTCTAAAGACTCATGTCCAACCAATATAGGGAAATGACAAATATTTCCACATCTAAATGAGTACTACATGTTATAGTGCTAAAGGGGCCCCTTTTATGTACGCTTGTTATAATATCTTTGTCCCGCAGTTAATACTTTATCCGATAAATATAAGTTCGGACCAAACCCATTGATATTTATCTAAGGATAATTGAGTATTGTATGAATGAGAATAAAAGAGGGATACGTATGGGTGTAAATGTATAATTGCACGTATAGATGAATAGTGTTTGTTCCTAAAAAATAGGATCGTGCTTCATATCATTTCAATGATACTTCACTTTTTTTTGAGAATTCATGTAGCTTGTGATTTCTGACTTTCGTTTCAATAGAAAACAAAATGAATTCTGACAGTTTAACAAAATGAATTCAATAGCTTGTGGTTTTCGACTTTCGCTTTTTTTTTTTTTTTTTTTTTTTTTTTTTTGTGTATGGTTTGTTTACTCAGTCTACTTTGTGTATTCTTTTGTCAGTTTTGATAAACAATTGTCAATAGTGAAATAACGTCATCTTTTTTTTACCCCCCGCGGTTAATATTGTATCCAATAAATTTCAATTTGGACCAATTGCATCAATATTTATCTGACGTTAGTTGGGACAGCTAGATTTCAGGCGTGTCATATATTGCATTTCACTATTCAAACACTATTTGAGACTATTCCAAATAGTAATTTCTGTTATGATAATTTACTTTGCCGACGTGAGTATGGCTTCTGTTTTATTTGTTTTTCTGTTGTTTTGATCTAGTTTTGTACCTTTTGTCTTTTTTTTTTTACGACTATGATAAATATAAATTTGTGTTTTAGTAGAGTAAAGTAAGATAAGAGTTCACCTTTTTTTTTAAAGGTCATCCGGTCA